CCATGGAAAACACGGTTGGCTCACTCAATTATTTCCTAAAGTCATGCCCTCTTTCTCAGCTTGACACCATAATTTTTGAGGCAACAGCACTGTTTGTTGCTGATTTTCACACTCACAAAGCCACACAGCACCTGCCACAGAGCACAGCAAACTTGGAGAACAATTCATTCTCCTGGCAGTGGGATTAGTCAAGTAATGATCATTGCATTGTTAATTAAGTGGCTGCTTTGTTAAAATGACTTGCCAGGGTGACTCTAAATTGGCTCTATTTGTTTACTGGTCTCACTTTTCCTCTTTATGTAGGAAGCTTTTTGGACTAGAATACTAGAGTACTAGAAAGCACCCTATACTAAAAAAAGAGAAAAAAAAAAAGCTTTGATGAAAATCACTAATAATTTCATTTTAGTGAGGGAAGGTCTTTTAAAAATTCAACATAAAAAAAATTCAACATACAATTTGAAATTTGGGTGAAAATGGTTCCCAGAAAACCAGTAATAATTTTCCTTAATTACTATGGAATTGCAAGATGGAAAGATTAGGTTTATTTTCCAGAGTCACTTTCTACCAGTGGATGTTGGAAACACAACGAGTTAGGGAAGGAGTGGGCTGGGGGTGGTGAGGCAAGGGACCATTTATCCCACCTAACAGCAGGTCGGAAATAGTTGACATTCGATAGGTTGTCTCTTGGAGATTTGCAATCCTCTGCTAGAGTTACATGGCTCTTGGGAATAGCCTTTTTTTAATCACCTTGGAAAACACTAACTTTCTCTCTTTCGGTATCCCCTATTAACATCAAAGAAGTTAGCATTTTTTCCTCCTTCAGAAACAAAAATGGGTTTGGCGCTGATGGTGTTTAAGAGATGGGGAGGGACCAGCGAGGGACAGAATGAATTGTATGTTCTCAAGTCCTTTAAAGCCACTGCCTCCCTCCGTCAGGCAGTGATCTGTTCCTCAGCTTTCTCCTGACCAACTTGGAGCCTGTTTAGGGACAGAGTACAGCTTTCTGTCGTTACACACACAGATACACACACATATGCACACATGCTCACCCACACGTCAACCAGCTGCAGAGCGAGCAACAGGAGGTGGCAGGATGTCTGCCACTGTGTCACTGGAGTTGTAAGCATCCCCTCCAAGCCATGCCCAAGGCTAGTTATTCTCTGGGCAAAAGCCAACCTAAGAACCTGGGGACCCTGCCAAAGTCTTGACAGTCCCTAAGCCTGGCTCTGTTGCTAGAGCCACACAGGAAAGTCATTAATTCTTTAAATAAGAGTTCAGTAAATGATTAAGGAACCCATTATTTGTTCAGCTGTGGGCTAGCTGGATAGAGGATATCTGGACATTTGCTTTAAAGAACCTAGACTATTTGGGGGAGAACCTAGAATATTTAGGGGAGAGGAGTAAAGACATACACACATTTAACCGTTGAATAACATCACAAGAGATGCCACTTAAATCGGTATCTAAGTAAATGCCAAATGACCTTTCAGGGCAGCGGGGAGTGGAGGGGGGGTTGCTTTCCAAGGGTGAATTGCGGTGGTCAGAGAAAGAGAGATTGTAATGTAGTGGAGCAAGCCTGGGCTTTGGAGCCAGACAGACTGAGTGCAGATCGTCGTCACGTGATCACAGGCAAGTTCCCAGCTCTCTCCTTTCCTTTGCTTACTTGTCCTGTGAATGAGGGGGATGGCACCTGCCTTGTAGAACTGTTGAGGGGTTACAGGAGGTCAGCTGTACACAACACTTAATGAATGTTTGGGTTTCGTTTGTTTGTTTAAAGAGCATCATTAAGAATGGATGTTTAGGCAGGATTAATTTAAGGGAAAACCAAGGGAGACCATTCCTCCTAAGGAAGGATGTAAAACTGTTATGCAAGAACTCATCACGTCTACTGGGTACTTTAGGAAGTGGAGAGCCATGAGAAAGGAGGTATCCTGACTCCTTTACAGTCCAAAAATCTGTTGGCTTTTTTCTGATGAAAGTGTTTTATGCTTAATATAGGAGATTTGGAAAGCACAAAAAATACAAGGAAGAAAGTAAAAATCAAACATAACTTTCCACCCAGAGAAAACCCTCATAAATGGTTTGATTTCCTCCCAATCTTTTTCTAATGCATAGTTTAACATAACTGAGATCCTGCTGTACACACAATTCTGGAATCCTGCTTTTTGTCTTCTTAATGTTTCATAAGTATTTTCCCGTATCACTAAAAAGTCTTCACAAACATCATTTGCAATGTCCACGTGGAATTTCATATATGGATGTACCCAAATCTCAACTATTCCACTAACAGTGGACATTTAGGGTTATTCAGACTTTTTCACTATTATAAACGATGCTTCCATGAATACCTTCGAGGTATAAACGCTGTTTCCTTAGGATGGATCCCTATAGGTGAAATTACAGTTCCTGCTTATAAAATGCTTTCTAGTAAATCTGTCCCAACTCACATTTCCACCAGTGATAGGAGAGAGACATCTGGTCTTTTCAAAACCAGAGACAAAATACTATCTTTGAAAAAAATTTTGCCTAATTTGACAGTCACTAAATAGGATTTCATTGTTCTTTTAATCATCTGCCTCCTTTTAGTGGCTGTACCTAAAAGGATCTAAAAGGTGTCTTCAGATAAATGAAGGAGTCTCTTTTGTCTGCCAGCTATCAACAAATAATTATTATGCAAATTATTTTACTCTGGATTTATCCTCTCCCCCTTAAGAAATCCCATGTTTCTGTGTTCAGTCATTGTACAGAGAAGAATTCTGGTACTTCAGGAGAAAATATGATTCTGCCACTAGCACACTTTCTTGAAAAGCAAGTCATAAGACCAGCAGATGGCATAGTGGGTACATTGCTGGACTTCCACATAGTCGACTGTGGTTCGAGCCCTGACCAAAGGCTTAGAATTCAAGCCAGGCACATGTGCATGCACACCCAAGATCCTGAGAGAAGGGAGGCAAAGGGATTGAGGCGTAACCACCTCGCCCCCTTATCCCCACCCCCCCACGCCAGGGATGATTTCTTGATTTCTCTGGTGAGCACACACACACCCTATAGCAAATGTCTTAAAAAATAAAAAAGAAAAAAGAATTAGAAGAAAAGAAGGAAGGAAGGAAGAGAGGGAGGAAAGGAAAGAAGGAAAGAAAAAGAAAAGCAAGTCATGTAAGCTGGTCTGAAATTCCAGTCCTTCGATGGATAGGGTGTCTGTCCTGCCTGTTTATGAAAATAGGGAGATGTTGAAGTTGAATGATTTTAGAAAGTAACAGTAAAAGAAATACATAATGAAATACTATCAATTAGGATATTGGTCATTATCGGGTGCCCTGATTTGGCAGTTTGTGCAAGTCCCACCTTCGGACCCCCAGTATCAGCTTCCCAGAGTAGGGGACCTCCGCTGACTGGCATCAGGAAGGGGCCCAGAAAAAAAGAGGAAGAATCATGCTCTGTAGAAAAAAGGTTCCCAGCCTCGGAACTACCTCTGGAACACCTCCTGAAAGTTTTAACTTTTGATTTTAAAAGAGAGAGAAAGAAAGAAAAGGAGGTAACGTTAACGTCTATAGTCCAGTCTGCGCAATTTCTCTCCTTGGGACCGTCCAGAGTAGGGAGCGTCTGGGATCCGCGTCGCCACCACCGCCCTAGCGGGTGGACTGGCACACCTCGGCCTCCACTATCACTCCTGCGGTCACGCCGCCTGCGGTCGCACTGCTCTCCGCCCCTCCCCGCCCCCGCTCCGGGCCCCACCCAGGCTCGGCGCCCGCCAGAAGTGGCGCGCGGCTGAAGACCGCTGTCTGGGCGCCCACTGCAAACCCCAGCTTGTCTGGGACTGCTTTCAACGTCCAGCCCCCGCCTGGCCTTCCATAGCCCTTCAACCTAACATCGCTTCCGTGCCAAGGCTCGTCCTCCGCACAGAACCGTAGGAGCCGCTGGATGCGCAGTCCGAAGATCTGGGCCCAAGCCCGCCTTGAAATCCCCGGCCCTCGCTGGCATTTCGTCTCTCCGGACCAATTCCCTGTTTCCTTCGCGAGCCGGCCTTGCCTGGTTCGCCGCTGGATTCTCCGTGTCGACGACAGTGGCACGCTGTTGGCCCTCTGTTAATATCAGTTGACGAAACGCATCTCTGTAATGGGAACACCCACAGAGTGTTGTGAGAAAGGATGAGTGATTCTGTGCAAGTTCCTCGTGATCTGTTGTATAAGTGCCATTCTATAAATTACTCTTGTAATAATAAAACTTTTCTATAGTAAAAAATTTCAAAGTGCTATTCATGAATTGGTTGCTACTATGATAACAATCCTTCTAGGAATACTCATGAGGCTAAGTCCTACCTTCTTCTGAAAGTGTTTCCTGATTATCTACCCCCGACCCTGGTGGTGTGACTGCAAATGTGCACATAGGGTCACACTCATCTGTGCGCCAAAGGAAGAGTCTTAAATTACTTTATCTCCTGCATGAAGTCATACGCTTGGCCCCACTCCCAACGATGCCGCCTACTGGTAGTGTTACCCGGACAAGTACTTCTCTTCTCTGGGCCTCAACATCTCCATTTGTAGCTTTCTGAGGTCTGGAATTCCATCCACGTGAGCACAGACAGTGGCGCTAAGGACAGACGCATCCCTCGCCCGCATTTCCCGCCTCCCTGAGGCACGTCCCACTTTACTTAAATTCAGGAACGCCTCCAGGATGAAAACCAGCCTCGGGACCCACAACGTGACATGGAGCTAACAGCAGCAACTCCCGGCTGGGAAGCCGCGCACTCCTCCGCCCCGCCCACCTCCCCGTGGTCTGCCAGTCTCTCTCAAC